TGTGCTGCAATCTGATTGGCTGAAACTTTAAATGTCTGTAACTTTGTAAGTTCTCAACGAAACGGGATGAAATTCAGAATATGAAGGTATAATTGATTCCTACATTATGCTTCTATCAAATTTGAATGCAAGGACATGCATGCATGCACGTACGCATGCGCAATATGTAAAATCACCAAAATATTCGAAAAATGGTAACATTTATATTTTTATGATATTTTGATTGATTCTCACCATATAAAGATAGGTTAATGGTTTAAACAACATGCCTTGATCATCTTGCATGTGTATGCAAGTGCGTGCGCGTGCAATACGTTAAATGGGATATAGTTGATATCATTTTAGTTTTGATAATTCTTTGATGAAATCCTTTGATACTGAGCATATTTTTAAAAAAAAGTCTTACAGGAACATGGAACAAGGGAGTTGGGGAGCGTTTGGGGAACATCTGTAACGGTCCCCGTTACAATTAAAACTAGTTCAATTTGCGAAATGTAAATTAAAAGACTGTTTGAAGATGACAAGAATTGATTACTCACAGTAGTTATGTAGTCTGGTTATCATTCTTTTCTTTACAATTATATTTTATACCGTTCCTCACTATTTTACCAAAATTAAATTACAGAGAAAGAAACAAACCTCATTTCGGATATTTCATTATTAAAACAGATGGCATTTCCGACTAAAGGATGTAAACTTTGAATAGAAATTGGAAAACGTAATTTTGAAATGAAATACTGAGGATGAGAAACAAACCCTAAGGTCCAAATGAAATGCTGAAATATATGATTTAATTGTTGATAAATTAATCAAGAATTTCAATAGTTAGAACCAATGTATAATAAGCAGCAAAAATTATCAGAATGATATCTTTAAATGTATCCATAAAGGTTTATCAATTACGCTTGAAATAATTTTTATGAGTCCCCTACCAGTGAAACCGGATCAGGTTTCCTCTGAGTCTGTGAGTCCATCAATGTGTCTGTCTGTCAGTCTGTCCCACTTAATTGTCCGCACTATTTTGTAAACGCTTGCAGAAATTAAGCTGATTTTTGGTATGTGAGTGTATCTTGATGGTTACAGGTCAATTTTAATTTTGTTCCGCTTCATTGGCTTTTGACGGAATTAGGCATTTTTATTTTATCATAATTGGGATTACAGTTGGGTTCGTTATGCATTTAATTGATGCCAAGGAGAAAAGAGGAACCCTGTAGGGGACATGTATTGCATATTAAATACTCTCAGAATGCTTCTCTATAAAAGAGCTTCATCAACATTTGTTCATCTCTCAATAAGGTTAATTAAACTCAAGGGGGGGGGGGTAAAAGATGCTGTTTGTAAGATCATTAATTAAAAATACAAATAAAAATTACATATTAAGAGCTTTGAAACAGTTATCCATTAAAATTGCTCTCAACAATGAATTTATTTATCAAATATGCAACACTAGTTAAAGCCATCCAGTGAAAAAAAAGAAGAGTTAAGTGTCCAATACCCTGTGTACATGATATGTAGAAATGTAGTACGATAGAAAATAGATTCAGATCTGGAATGAAAACCAGTATGAAACATAATGGAGATAACGTACAGTGTTCAAGATCAAAAGTCCATAAAACAAATCAAAATAGGAGCAGAAAAAAACACCTCCAAATCATCAGAGACGGGATCAGGTGCCATAGAGGAGTGAGCATCCCCTGCCGACCGATCACACAAATCGTGTGCTCCTCATCATAATTAGATTATACGAAGGTCAAGAGTAACTCGTTTTATGCCCTTGTAATTAACCTTCCAAGAGACCGCATTCCAAATTATAGAGTTTAAATTCAATTTTCATACTTCTTTATCAATGAATACAGTTCAAAGAATTTAAATGATTTTTATTTGAACGAACACATTGAGAGATATAATTACTTTTTCACTTGTATGTTAATAATGCAGATGAAAAATCTTTAATATGTTCTACGGTGTGACCGTTGGGGCGAGCGCAGTTATTTACTATCAAAACCTTTACATAGCTTTTACTTGCACTGCCTATCCTCAGTTCATTAAAAAAAAAGAAGAAGAAAAACTAGAGGTACTGTGAGCAATGAGCTCACTAAATGATACCCCCCGCCTCCCATATGAATATATTGGCAGTATCCATGTTTTGCTCTGGAAAATCCGAAATATATGTCAGATCAAAACGTAAAATAGGAGGTGCACAATGGCAGTGTGTAATAAAGATTCTGTGAAAGTTTCATTAAATTTCCTTCAGTGGTATGAGCTAGGAGTTGCGGATAAGAGATGGGTACCCCAAAGCGTAACAGACGGACGGACGGACGGACAGACGTACAGACGGACGGAAATACCGATTACTATATACCCTCCCGCTTTTCAAGCGGGGGGTATAAAAAGCAAACACTTTCCAGGCTTCGGGATCGAGATTCCGAACTTTCCGGAAGTTTCCGACAAAATCGAAAATACCCGAGTCTTTAAGTGACGAAAGTATGACGTCAAATAAAAAGTCCTGTTGACTTGGAACGTAAACGATAGTTTTGTGGCATGGAGATTGCATAAAATCGTTGTTTGTAATTTTTTTTCAAGTAAGCTGTTGCTATGTTTTAGCCACCATGTTGCTATGCACCGCAAAGGATTATTGGGAGTTTGGAATTTTTTGACGCGGTGAGATAAAAATTTCTTGGAACAATGTGCAGATTTTAACCCGAATTTCCTCCGTTCGTACACGTTAGTCTATTGAGCTCGCTACGCGAGCGGCGCTTCGCGCCGCCTCGCTGCGCTTGCTAATATGTTTACGGTGTGACCGTTGGGGCGAGCGCAGTTTATTTACTATCATTAACCTACACGACCATGTACTGTCTATCATTCAAGAAAAAGAAAGCAAAAAGAATAAAACAAAACAATAAAAAGAAATCATTTTCCAAGCATCGGGATCGAGTTACAAACTTCTCGGAAGTTTCCAACAAAATCGGAAATACCCGAACCGTTTAAGTGACGAAAGTATGACGTCATACAAAAAGTTCTGTTGACTTAGGACGCTAGTTATATGGAAAAGAGATTGCATTAAATCGTTCTTTTCAAGTAAGTTGTTGCTATGTTTTAGCCATCATGTTGCTATGCACCGCAACATGTTTTCCGAGTTTCACGGAAGCAACCGACATAACTTCGTCAAAATTCGTAACGCAGGGGTGATAAGGAAGCATACAGAATATTCTACCTGGACTAAATCAGTGCTACATTATGACGTCATAGTAGGCGAGATGACGTCAATTTTAGAAAACAAGTTTTCGCAATATTGGTATTTAGAGATGTAATTTAACTCTAGAAAATAATTAGAAACGTTTAAACATTAACAAAAATAAAATGTTTTTATTCTGTTATTGTATATCTGTTATTTTTATTAAAAATCTACTATCGATGACGTCATATGTGTATATCAAGTAACTTGGGAACTGAGCATGTCGTGTAAAGAGAATTTGGCTAAGAACGGCATGTACAAATATACGTAAAATGGGATTTAAAAGCAAATACCGTAAATATTATGTGAAATTCATATGGAGTAAAGTAACTTAAACAGGTATTCTAATTTATTTTCATCGATTATATTCTCTATTGAAGACAGTCAGCTATAAACGTATCCGGGTCTGCCTTTCCTATTTCATTCTTGACAAAAATAATGCAGCAGAACAACAATAAGCTGGATATTTCAGAACATGAGATTTATACAAATCGAAAGTTCGCCTTCTAAAATACTTGGAAAGTGCTGCTACAATCCAGAGTTAAGCATGGTTTTACGAAAAATCTCGGTTCATATGTATAAAATTCAAAACATGGGTAAGGTTTCGTGCGAAAGTGTGGAACAATTATTTTACTGACGGCACAGTTGGATTCTAGCAGCACTTTTTATGCACAATAGATGTTTTCCGACTATATTATTTACTCAAAGAATTTATTAAACTCCGGGGTATTGTTGTTCTGTTAGCTTTTTTATTAAGGAACATTTCGCTATAAATAGAAGTCACGTGATGCAGTGGTGGTGGTGCACGTCTTTGCGTTAGACACTCTTTCATATCTATGCAATAGTTAATAATAGTTTACGTTTATCAGTGGTTTGGGTAAATTATCAAAGTTAATTTTCTTTCAAAAGTCTTAATTTCCCGAGAAATGATTTATATGCTTCCTTAACATACATGCGAAGTTTCCGGTGACGTCATTTGTATCATTTCCGAAGGGCAAGGTGAAGGCCGGTGTTGTGGCATGGGGGTATTTTTTTGAATAAGGTAAGGCAAAATCATTTCGTTAAAATTTCGGTAAGAAACAATGTTCCTTTAATTTTTTCACTATTTTTGATTTATTCACGCAAAGGACATTGGGTAGTGCAGGAATTCTGGGAATGTTGCACAGAGAAATGTGGCTGACGTATGTACAGATTTCAATCCGAATTTCCTCAGTTCATACACGTTAGTCTATTGAGCTCGCTTCGCGACGCTCGCTGCGCTCGCTATATATAATTGATAAACATTTTCATGAAATTTAGCCAAAAAAATTGTTTGGATGCTATCTTGCAGATTTAATTGAGTATAGACTAAAGATGTCAACTCAACTATTTATGACAAACGAGTTAAGGGGTTCAACTTTACATATCTTATTAAAAATTTTCAGCAATCACCTGAATATGCTGTTAATGTTTTCGAATTGATTTGAAACTTTAGAGCATGTTCGGTGTATTGTTGACTTAAATTGAGGCTGACTATGAAAAAATAACTTGATTAACAGAAAGTAAAATTTTCACGATCCCTTGGTCGTGAAAATTATCTTTCAGACAGAGGTTCGCTTGATGTAAAGCTCCAGCAATTGTCACAAAATGTTTTCAAAGACGCAGATGAGAAAATTTCTAAATTTTGAACACGATCTCCTTTCTTTCGAGCCATGTCAAGATCAACGGTGCTACGTCATCAAGTTTAACGTCATCTATTTGAATACGAAATCATTTACAATTTTATGAGTTCCAATGGAATTTTAGATTTATTTCATTAGAATTTTACATGGATAAATCTTTCAAATATTCTTGTAAATTTCAAAATTCAAATTCTTGTAAATTACACTTGATGACCACATTAAAACAATGAGTGACATGCTTCACAGTTCTTTATGTTGACATTCCCTGAGATAATCAGAAGGTATTTGCTGACAGTGCTTTTCCCATGCTTTCCTGAAAAAGAAATACTTAAGAAATGAATTTAATAGCTACTCAAGGTATACTCTATAAGCTGAGTTATGGTGGTTTATGCTTTATTAACCGCAAATCATTCCTTATAAGTTTATTTTCAATCATTAAGAGTGTTAATAAGACAATTTCTCCTTCAAAATTCCTTTGAATTGTACATATCTTAAATGTAACGTCAAGCCAAGTGATACCATTTTGACGTAAGCAACACAGGTTATACGATACACACTAATTTTTTATCCAATCAAATAACGCAATAAAACCAAAATTAGATTATATGGTTTTCATGTAGGCAGGGAATGAGTGACGAAATTGAAAATATATAGTAGGCAATAGATAACTTATTCAATACAATAAATGCTGTGCAGCTAAAAGATAAAGCCTGATTATGTGAAATTAGAAATGTTCAACGAGTTCGACTATTTCAATAATTACAGCGGCGGATCATAATATTATAAACAAAACGGCGTCGCCATTTGCAGTTAAAAAGAAATGCATACTTTTATTTACCTGTTACTCCTCTCAGTATGCATGTTTAAATAAAAAGGGCACATGACTGGGTCAATTGACGTACTATGTTATAATAAGATATGACGTATCAAGATTGTGATGCAATAAATTACGTCATTCTGTATGTAAACAGAGAATGGGAAAGACGAAAGATTTATCACAAAGCTTAAAACAAAAGATCGTAGATAGTTTTCAGAGTAGAATAAAACAATCAGAAATTGCAAAGTGCCTAGGATTAAACCGATGTACGGTTTGTGCTGTGATAAAGCGATATCAGGAACGGGGTTCGGTGGAGAATAAGCCTAGAACGGAGAGAAAGAAAAAAACTTAGTGTGCTGGACGAACGGTCAATTTTGAGGTTATTTAGTAAAAACACATCGTGTCGAAACCTGAAAGATATCACTGCCAGATTCAATCAGTTTAGGGGGAATACTGTTTCAGAAGTAACTGTAAAAAGATGTTTGTTCCGAAATAAATACCACAGACGATTTATAAGAAAAAACATACGAATCCGAGATGAGAACATAAAAAAACGAGTCGAGTGGGCCAGTGGGAAAAGGCATTGGAAAGTTGATGGTGGCTGGAATAGAGTTATTTTTTCTGATGAATGTAAGGTGATAATTGGAGAAAATAATCGCGTATATGTGTGGCAGAGACCCGGAGAAGAGTGGATGCCGCAATGCATTAGTCCCGGTCGTGGCGCAAGGGTTAGTCTAATGATTTTGGGGTGTATCTGCTGGAATGGACCAGTTACTCTGACAGTTGTCAATGGCAATATCAATGCTGAAAAGTACAGGGAAATAATTTATAATGAATTATGGCCAGTTGTTCCATTTTCCACAGAATGACTTTATTTTTCAAGACGACAATGCGCCGGTGCATCGCGCAAGAATTATGCAAAATTACAAAACTGAAAATAATGTTCGAGGAATGTTGTGGCCTGCCCAATCTCCGGATGCTAACATAATTGTAAATTGTTTTTGTTGAAAAATCAGCTTAGAAAATGTGCAAACAGAATTACCAACGCAGCGGATCTAGAACAAGAAATTCGGAGAATATGGACCAACATCCCTATTCATTATATAGAGAACCTTTACAGATCATTTCCACAACGAATGATTAAGATTATTAAATCAAAGGGGTATGCCACAAAATATTATGTAAGTTTCATTTATACCAATCTGTTTATAAGGCGAAAATCGTTTTTTTTATTTACCGGATCCGCATGTTGCTAATAACGCGACGACGCCATTTTGTTTATAATATTATGATCCGCCGCTGTATAAAAGAATACCATAAGCAAATACCGAGATAAAGAAAAAAAACGTGACTTCATTATTTCTGTAAAATATGCAAGAAAAAAAAAAGGAATAGTGTAAAGAAAAAAGAAGGCATTTTTGCACATTTCGACAATTTACTTATTTTAACGTGTATTTGACAAAATTTTCAATAAGCAGCTGTTTTCTAGGAGTTTTAATACTTGATATCGCGAAATGCGCTGTTGAGTACAATGCAAATTCAATCATTGTAGAATTTATAAGGACAGATAAGTAAAAAATCCTAGTGGAACACCTTGCTATACAATCGCTGAACCAGCCTAATTAATTTTTGAGAGACGATAATCCTAAATTGTTTTATTTTAAACGATACAATGTATTTTTGACTTAGCCGACTCTTCTCATTAAATTTTCATTGAAAATCGTCACATTTTAAAGCTGATAAAATAATCTAAATTTTCATTATTTGACAATCTAGTATTTGGGGCTCAATTTCTGGCAATAAGTTGTACTTTCGGCATAAAATTGTTAAAATCATTTGATTATCACTACTGTAAACAACGCCATGGGCCCCAGTAATCTCACAAGGTTTGAGCATTCTCGACACCCACGCAAAAGAGCGGTTGTAAGTTAGATAGCTGCGAGGTTCTCGTGATATTATTACAGAACAATTAGATTTCTTCGTTACATTATTTTGACAGATAAGTGACGACAGGTGTAAAAGGTATATTACTGCATAAGTAAGGGAAGTTGACAATAGAAAGTTAAAGTCATCATGTTTATCAGAAAGCTTCAATTCGTTAATAGGTTACTATTAATGTTTTTTTTTTCTATTAAAATATCCAAATATGAAACAGATGTGTCAGATTCTATGGTACATTATAATTCAAGCTCACTGGGATATATTGTGTCGACATATGAATAAAAAATGTAAATTGATAATGCGTGCCGAAATATCTAAATGTCGAGTTAAATGGGTTTTTTTCTTTTCGTGTATAGGATTTGAATAAATTCTGCTTCATTTTGAATACAAAAAAGATTGTTTATTACGGAGCGTAATTGGTATTCCAGGAAATTCCAACAGATTGTTGGAACATCTGGTCTCTAGTACATCAGAGTACAAAATAATTTAAAAATGGTCAATGACAAGATAAGTAAATTTACGATTTAAGATTTACTTTATCCTATACCTTTCATTTGCATAAATATTTGAAATAAAAAAAATCATTAAAACTTACGAAAATTTAAATCCACGATTTTCTCTTTTCAGCTGTTGAACGCAAGTAAGATCATCAGATATATCGGCATTTCTGAAATCTAATAGATGAGAAAACTAAAACAGGTTGTTTATATTTATGGTCGATCGCCTATGGTCGAGACAATGACCTTGTCAGCAAATACAATTTATCATTGAGTCAAATGCTGACTGACGTTTTTAATAATTATTATTAAGTCCATTATTTATTAACTGAATTGACGGCGGATTTTCCGATCATGATAAAGAGCAAACGGCGGATGTGACTGGTCAGCAGGAGATGCTCACTACTCCATGGCACCTGATCCCACTTCTGATGTTTTGGAGGCCCGTCTTTGCTCTGCCCCTGTTTTGTATCGTTTTATGAACTTTTGATCTTGAATACTGTTCATTATCTCCATATGTTTCATGTATTAAATATTTAACATGGGAAAAGTCACTAACACAAATACAATGTTTGTTTTAAAACACATATAATGTATCATTTAAAATATGCAAAAAATTGCTTAATGTTGGTCATGAAAAATATCTTTTCCATTAAATTTCTTCTTTAAGCTGAGTAAATAACATCTTAAATTAAAATTTCCTGTCAGACCATCGATCTGCACACTAAGCATCAATCTTTTTAACTCGAAATATACTTTGTTGATATGTGTTTTTGACAGCACTGTTATTTTCATTTGTTCTCATTTAATTGTAATGGCTTATATACATAAACTTACTGGAACAATACGAATGACAACCATTTCTGGTAGTTTTTCCATTTTGTGGATCACAGTTCCAATGGTCGTTTATCTGGAAAATGCCATGATCACGAGATCTAAATTTATCAGGGTTCTCTCTACCAATAATGTCAGTTCTAAAGCCCGACTCATGTTCTGCCATACACACATCTAAATTCAAAAATATACAATTAAATACGGATATTTTGATGAGATTGAAGAAATGCATTAGAAAAACTTGAATACTTCAGATTATTTTTATTTTTCTTTAAATAATTAGTTCAAAGTCGAATGAAAAGGAATTTATCCTTCATTGGATTAAGCAACGAACTTTCATGAAAATAAGTAACTTTTATTTATATTTGCTTTTATTTATTGACAACGTAATAACTGCTACCGATTCTGTAAAACTAAGAAAAGGAAAAAACATATAACGGAATTAATGTCTGGTTTGTTGTTAGTAAGGTCGTTAAAGACAGTTGGAGAAATGTGGGAAAATTATCCTATGTCTTTAACTGTGTTTAATGACATGGAGAACTGGCATTGTTGTATGGTTTAACGAAAAATATATATATTTTGTTTGATAATATTCACCACCAAGAAAAAAATGGTGTCTTCGTCTTAAATTTTTAAGCCGTGAATTAGATTCACTTACAATCATCAATATCACTCTCTAATGTTCCAAGTCTAGCTAATTCTTTTGCTAGTCCGCACTTCGTAAAGGTTTTGCAACTGACTACAAATAAATAAAAACATTAGGAATATCTAATAGCCTTTAACTAAAACTTTTTTTTATATTAATGTGAAACAATGCACAAATTTCATTTGTCAGAATTGCTGCAAATTTTCTCTTATTCTTTTTGTATTTATACCCGGTATTTTCTTTATATTTTAAGGTATTTATTGAGAATTGATTACGTTAAACCCGCATTAAAATACAGGACTGCTTGAGCATATACCCCTTGTTATTAAATGCCCGATGACAGGTCCAGACAAAATCAAATGTAATGCATGTGTTTTTAGTTGTTTGAATTTATATTAGATATTATTAGTTAGTCCATTTATATGATAGGTTCATATATATATATTGTGTAAAACAATCGGTAGGATAAACTATCAAAGAAGGACGACTTGAGCAACTGAAACAAGAGGCGATAGCGTATTTTCCTCTTACGATTATGGCCACATTCATCATTAGGATTATCTCCTTTTGCCTTAAATTTATAGCTTCATCAAAAGAAAGTGTGGTTCAGAACAAAAATATTATGTATTGCAATTGATCTCTATAATTAAATCATAATGGAAAATATGAACATTGACACCATGTATTTCATATACGTATATGTAAAAGTATCATAAAATTTTATTACAAACAAGTTGATGAACAAAGAATTTCAGCTGTCTCGTTTTAAGTCATTATTTCGAAAGTTCTACAATTGATACAATGAACTTGTCAGCAAATACAATTTATCATTGAGTCAAATCTGACTGATTTTTTCATACTAATTGTTAGTCCATTATCTATACACTGAATTGACGACGGATTTTTTCGTTATTTCCTGATCATGACGAGCACACGGCGGGTGGGTCCAGTTGACAGGGGATGCTCAGTCCTCCATGGCACCTGATCCCACCTCTGATGTTTTGGAGACCCGTGTTTTCTCTGTTCCTTTTTTGTATTGTTTTATGGACTTTAAATTTTTGATACTGTTCTCCATATATTTCATTCAGTGATTACAGAGTTTAATACTGATGACACTTTTTCAGTTGAAATTTTTAATACTTCAAAACAAAATCTGAAAACTTTGAACTTAATTACCTGTCAGAATCATTCCACAAATAAAAAGGAAGGTACGTTCAGCCATGCTTCTTACACTTTATTAAAATCTGGATAAAACTATACAATAGAAGCATTAATTTTCTTTGAAATGAAACTCTTTAGCTTTTTACCTAAAAAAAGTGTTCGTGGATATTCAATTTTACTTTTTTAAAATTTCATTTAGGGTTTAATTTTTCTTGAAATTCGTTAGCTAAGAAATAAACAATATTTAATCCACAAGGAATGTCTTTCGTTTTGTTGTAGTGCTTAAAGAATTTTTCTTTTTGTGACATCAGTTTTTCGATAGTTCGATCTGCTTACCAGAATCAAAATCAATGAAAATATGAAAACTAGGATTGTTGGTGAATCTTCTGGATTAAAGAGAGATAACTCGAATCGATTTAGTGTGGTTTAACGTATTCTTTTGAGAATTTTTCAATTCGTATAAAAGTGTCAACATATACCAATGTAGAGCTTCATTTAGTCTAAAGAACGAAACCCTGCCCTCTTGGAAGATTCAGACAACAGTACTTCTGATGGTCTTTATTAAATGTCAATACAATGACTGCATTTACTTTTCCAAAGTAAGTTTATACATTATTCAGTCTTTTATATTTTCCATCAGAGAACTATTGCTAGGATTTTATGCAGCAAAATAACTGCATAAATTCAATATGCACACCTTTATATGATACAAATTTCCCAAAGTACATATCGATAGCTCCATTGAGTGCCATTTCAGAAAACAATAAAGAAAAAGTAAATATATATGTAGTAGGTCTTAAGATCAGAGATGAAAAAATATTAAATAACTTACAGATAAAAAACATTAGAATTGTTGACTCTTTCTGTCCCTTATATCACAAAATGAATTTTAAACAAGGAAGAATAAATATTTTCCCATCATGGCCGACATGTGGCTTTTTAAAATAAATTAGGTTTAGAAGAATATGATAACAGATAACCAAAATTTAAAAGTCCCACAGTGTAAAAACCACATTGTCACGCACTCAACCAAGTACATGTACTTTATTTTATTTTTAAATTTGACTTTAACAGAACAAATTTCACAGAACGCTGAGGACTTTAAATCTTACTGAATAATAATTCGCATTCTCTCTCTCTCTCTCTCTCTCTCTCTCTCTCTCTCTCTCTCTCTCTCTCTCTCTCTCTCTCTCTCTCTCTCAATATCTCTCTCTGAAATATAAATGTAAATTATAAACTGTCAAAGGAGGAATTTATTTAGTTACATTATATATTTCATGGATCTCTTGCACAAATATCATAGAAATATTTAGCATTTAGCAAATCTGTTGTTATAATACCTCACTTTTTAAAACATTTATATGTATTGAGGAGACAGCTTATTTGCACAGAGTGGAAAATTTAAATAATATGCCCTGATATTACTGTTTCATTCGCATCTGTTTCATCAGATACCACCGAGGAGTAAGCATCCTCTTTCGACAGGTCACCGTGTGCTTCTTAATGATCGGAAAAATAGGGAAAAATATTCGTAATCGCCCAGCTATTTTGTATGAATAATGTCAGTTAAGGTATTCCTATCCTCAGCCAGGAAGGATAATTCTTAAATTATCTATTGTTTTATTAAAAATATCAAAATTAAATTTGAAATTGAAACCTTTCCATGCAACAGTTTTCATTTCATGCATCCCGGTGTGATTTAAGGTTCTTTGAAGTCTTAGAAATGGACTGATAAAAAGTTGCTATTTTTACTTCATATAAGTATTATTTATCAAATTACACTTTTGATAAAAAAAACTGTTCCTTTAATCCTACCTTAGATACCAGTGCTCATTGGCATATTATAAAATTAGAAATGGTTTACGGTGTCTTGCAGTGACAGTTAACCTTTAATACACCATGTATTATAAAATGATTAAAGTTAATTATATTTTTGATCAATTTTCAATCAGAAAATACATGGAAGGTATTTTTAATACGCATTTGCAGAAACTATTTTTAAGATTCACTTGTTTTCCCTATGTAATATGATTAATATTAATGATGAACTTTGAAGAATTTTTTATTTTTCAATTACTTGCCTTGTTTTAGAAATTGGTCGCATGTACAGCATTCGTATTTAATCAACGTAGAGGCGAAAACCTCAATATACAGGTGATATATTGGAACATCGCATAATAAAAGAGGTTAACAACTAAAAAGTGGAAGTCAACAGGTTTTTCATAAAGTATGGTTGTAAGGTTACCTTGAACGTCGTTGTCTATTATAATATCCAAATATGTGAAATATATATATTGTAAAAGGTATGAAATATGAGGTAGAGGTATGTAAACTTTAATTCAGTTTGATTGTTTCGAATATTAAAAGTATTAAAAACTGACAAATGATGTTAAAGTTGTTTCTCCTTAGAAAGGAATACCACGTATGAATATAATGAATAACCACTTGTTTATATTAAATCAACATTTCTTTAAATCACAAATAAAATAATGCGATTAATGTAACATCGTCAACCAATAACTTTGTAGCTATGTAAATTTCTTCAAAGTGCTCCACGAACTATCTGCTTTACAAATTTTGAAAAGGATAAATACTGTTATTCTTTGTATGAGGCTTTCATTAAATAGCTAGCACCTTTAATAAGCAGAGACAGAGTTCAGACACTTCAATAAAAAAATTGTGAATGTAATAGAGTTGTAAACTGGTTTCAAGTTGCACATTAACTGTTTGAAATGTAACATGTGTAAAGCCTTTCTAAATTTAGTGGAGATAAACAGTAACGCTGTGTTTACCATGTAATTCAAGCGTCTTCAGTAGTTATAAGACCTTTCTATTCAAGATTGATGAGCCATGCATCAAGTGAACCTAGCTCTATTATAATATAAGAAGGTATAAGAAACTCATCAGGAAGCTTTCTCTTACAGTAAACAATATTCTGAATGTAAAAAGTCTTGTTCTTAGGTGCACATGACTTGTTGAAAATATTAAGGTTCTCTAAATTAAGTAGATAAACAGAAACACTGTTATAACAGTGTGTTGTGACATAGAATTCGAGCGTCTTGAATAGTAATTAAATCTCTATTCAGGATTGATGAAGCATGGTTCGTCAAAAATAAAAACCTTTGCAATACATTGATATTGATTAAGGGTTAAATATGCACTGATTTATTGCGCTTTAAAAACACTGTTATAAGGCATAATATTTCGGACTGTTACGTTCACAATAGATCAACTGTGTTTCATAGGTATGTTATTCATTGTTTTATATTTTGAATAACTACTTTTCTTTTTAAACAAATTCCTGTTATTTAGTGTTACGTATACTTTTATAGGAATGATAAGCAATCGTATTATGAACATACGAGAATCCAGTAAACTTACTACATATACTTCACAGTTTAAATTCAATTTGTATAGGTTTTATAGTAGAGTATGGAGTTAAGATCTTTAAATTTTAAACACTTTTGAGGGACCAAAATACTAATACTTTTAATGAATATTACTCAAAAACATGTCAATTTCTTGCCTCGTTTTAGAAATTGTTGGCATGTACATCATGCGTATTTTTAATCAGTTTGTAGACATAATCTCAGTATATAAATGACATGTTGGTATTTTGCACCTGATTAGAGGAACACCAACATCTTACGAAAGAACGTCACCAAATCCGGGATCAGTCATGGCATTCACAGTTGCATTATCTAATTTTTCAATTTCATAGAGATTTCAGTCGATAAAATCCCCACAAGATACCTCAAAGCTGCTTCTTGTCGTAGTCATTACCGTGAAAATACAATACATTACTATGGACATTTTAACTAGCAAAATAATTCAGAAAAGGTAAATGAAAGAAAGAAAAAAAAAAGTGTCATATTTATTCTATTCTTAAAAAAGAGAGGATTTTATAGAAGAGAGGATGTCATGATATAACGGGTATAATTGTTTTTAAAGTGAATTTTATGTTATATTTTGGATTTTTATAGGAAATGCATCGTAAAGGTGTACTAAATTAATTTATGAAAGAAGCAAATAAAACTAGAAGATTTATTGTTCACAGACAAATAAGAGGTCGTTCCACCTTCTCTGAATTTCAATTTTGTTTTATATCAAACTCCTTAAATACCATGAAAAAGAAAGCATAAGTGGCTTAAAGGATAGTAATATTGAACAATTTTAAAATTTTGATATGACCCTTTAACCTTTTATAGATTTTCAAGGTCAAAGGTGAAGGGTCAAATAAGAATTTACCCCGTGCCTCTACGACTTTTAGTTCTAACGTTATAAAGTTTTATATTTAGCATAAAGAAGTTGAAGGGTAATAAGTCATATTAGGTGTCTACAGATCCTTTTACACATACAATATGAAAGTGTGCCTAAAGGCTCTTAAGACATTAGTGAAGGTTTCGTGTCTCTATGGCTTATGGTTTACGGTTTCGAAGGAGTAGTGATAACAAGGTTTCTCGTTTAAAGGGCGGTGACTTTTAAAAGGGTCAATCTAAGGGGACAAGAATGATAAATTTGAAATACTTTTTAAAAGAGTACATATGAAGGATTAAAAGACAAATAGTATACTTTGAAAGACAAAAGAGATAAAACAAGCTTAATTTCTTATTTTTTGAATGATCTTGACCTTTGACCTTTGCATAAATTTTAAGGTCAAAGGCCAATGAATCTTATACAGTTATTCCCATGTCTCTACACTTTTCGTTTTGAAAATTAATTGTTCATAAACTTCAAAAACTTTCAGGGACAATAACTGATTGAAGGTTTCAACGAATACTTTCGAAATGAATAGATTGGAGAGTCCCCTCAATTAGTAAAAGACATTGGTAAAGTTTTCATACTTCTACTGTTTACGGTTTTGGAGAAGTAGCAATAACAAGGTTTTTCGCACAAGGGGCAATGAATTTTAATAGAGTCACATGAATGAAACTATTGAAATAGTTTTAAGAGTCATATTAATGATGCAAAGACAGAATATATAAGTTGAAAGACAAAAGAGGTATAAAACAGTTGAATTTCTCTCCTTTTTTATGGAATGACCTTGATCTTTGACCTTTGCATAAATTTATTGATCAAAGATCAATTAATCTTTTGTAGTTAGTCCCATGTCTCTACAACTTCTCGTTTTGGAAATTTAACTTTTAGAATGACGGTAGAAATGTTTGATTACAATTTCAATCAGAGAGAATTAGTATGTTTAGATTTTTTAATTATCACCGATCTTACTGTGTCACATGCATAAAATTTGAATCGTTACTGTGTCGGAGAAAATTTTACTGTGTAGGATGCAACACAATAAAAGAGCTCATGGAGAACCCTGTTTATAAAATATATAAAAGCTGCAATACATGTTTCTTAATACAGGTTTAATACATGTGTATTTTGCAGAATACAGATTTCGAACAAGTATTTCATTGTTATCACCTCTCACAATATCTCTAAAGAAGATTAATTTGATAACCATTTCTGGCTGTTTTTGTAATTGAATCTCATGTTGATTTAATTTTGAATGTTTTGTTTTTACTAATTGATATATATGCAATGCCAAATAGCTGAACAGGTTTTGGTCGTTACCCCTGCGTAAATGAATGCAACGTCGATGAGTAAATTCTAATCACATCAGCCAAATTTGGTAACATGAAAATTATAATGTATCAGGAGAAATTTGATCCATCCTCCAATGAAATAGGATTTTCTGCCTCCCTTTGTTTAATTGTTTGTTTTTGCGCAGGGACATTTCAAGGATGCTCTGACATCTCAATGAATCAGCGTTATGCACATGTTGAATATCTTTACACCTTTTTTGTAACCGAATAAGTTTATTCTTGTTTTACAACAGGACACTGTCTTTATATTTTTTTAAACAATCTTTTCTTTCACTGGCCAAGGATTTCCTTTTGTGGTAGTG